AAAGGGAGGCAAGGGCAACATACGTAACCTAAACATCTGTACCCCCATAATATGCTGAAATAAAAAAACAAACAAACAAACAAAACCCTATAAAAAATAACAGTACAACAGTAAAAAAATATAGTATAATAATTATTTGCATAGCATTTACATTGTATTAGGTATTATAAGTAACCTGGAATGATGTAAAGTATATGGGAGGATGTGCGTAGGTTATATGCAAATACTGCCACATTTTATTTAATATATAAGGAGCTTGAACATCCTAGGATTTTGGTATATAAGGGGGTATCCTGGAACCAATCCCCCACAGATACCAAGGGACAACTCTGTATCTTGTTGGGTGTCAAGAACTTTGGGGAAAAAATGAATCAGAGTTAATGGATAGAAGGGACAAGGGAGTCCTACTTTAAATAGAAGAGGTGGTCAGGGAAGTCCTCTCTAAGGAAGTAACAGATAGTAAGAGGCTTTTAAAAAATAAAGGAAGCAAGTAATGCAAAAATCTGGGGGATAAGTGTCCTGAGCAGGAACACCAACTATAAAGGCCCTGAGGAGGTAAAGTATTTGCACAAGGAGTCCAGTGGGAGCACTTCAAGGAAAAGAATGGTAGAAAATGAGATTGGAGAGAGCCAGATTATAAAGACTTTTACAGGCAGGCCAAGGTAAGGATTTTAGGCTTTATTCTAAATATGATGGGAAACCTTGAGAATAAAATAATATGGTCCAATTTATGTTTTCAGCAATCACCTTGCTGCTTTTTATTAATCATAATCTGATCATCAGGAAGACACTTCTGCCATGTTTTATAGCTGCTTGTGTTTTTTTTTTTTTTACTTTATTTTCCCTACATCCTTTAATACTTTTAAATTATAATAAGCCTTTAAAGCCAGAAAGCTCCCCTAGGTTAAAGGTACAGTTTGTTTCAAGACTTGAAAAAGTTCAAATTTTCTTTGAATTCAGTAATACTATGTTTGTACACAGTCTATTTATCAGTTATGTCTTTGCTTAACTAGAAAATAGTGCATCAGTGTTTCTTAAAAATCTTGAGTAGTGATTTTTTTCTGAAAGAGAAATTTTCATTTTGAGAAACAAAATTTTTTCAAGTTAAAATGACCTGATAAGGTTTTTGCAAATTTTTCATGAATTGGTCTTCTTTTCTTGCTGAGCAATGGAACAGAACAGAGAACCCACAAACAGACCCATCTCATTTTCAATAAAGGCATCAGAGCAATCCAGTGAGGAATGGAAGTCTTTTCTACAAACCGCAGAAAACGATATCTATAAGAAAAAAAGATTAACCTTGACAGCTCCCTCACACCCTGTTCAACAGTTAATTAAACATGGATCATAGTCCTAAATGTAAAGGCTAAAAACTATAAAACTTAGAGGAAAACATGGGAAGATTTCTTTGCAACTTGAGGATAGGCATATGTTTCTTAGCTCACAGAAAGCAATAATCAGGAAAAAAATTGATTTGACTTTATCAAAATTAAAAACGTCATAAAGAACGCTATTAAGAAAATGGATAGAGGCAAGCCATTTTTTCTTAATCATAAACAGCAGACAGGAAGAAACACATAGTACATGTAGTTCATAAACAACTATAACTCAGTCATAAAAAGATAACCCCATAAAAAGGGCAAAGATTTGGCCAGGCGAGGTGGCTCATGCCTGTAATCCTAGCACTCTGGGAGGCCAAGGCGGGAGAATTTCTTGAGCTCAGGAGTTCAAGACCAGCCTGAGCAAGAGCAAGACCCCATCTCTACTAAAAATAGAAAAAATTAGCTGGGCCTGATGGTGTGTGCCTGTAGTCCCAGCTACTCAGGAGGCTGAGGCAGAAGGATCCTTTGAGCCCAGGAGTTTGAGGTTGCTGTGAGCTAGGCTGATGCCACAGCTCTCTAGCCCAGGCAGCAGAGAGAGACTCTGTTCCCCGCAAAGAGGTGGGGGTGGGGAGGCAAAGATTTGAACAGATACCTTACAAAAGCAAATAGGTACATGGCCAATAAGGACATAAAAAAGTGCTCAATATCATTAGTAGTCATCTGAGCTACATTGCACTTTTGTGTGTGTGTATGTGTGAGTGTGTGAGTAGCTGGTACTACAGGCACATGCCACCATGTCCAGTTAATTTTTTGTATTTTTAGTAGAGACAGGGTCACATTGTTGCTCAGGCTGGTCTTAAACTCCTGACCTCAAGCAATCCTCCACCTTGGCCTCCCAAGACGGCTAGGGTTATAGGCGTGAGCCACCACACCTGGCCAAATGCACTTCTGTGTTAAAGATTTTTGCATGTTTTTTCTGGGTTTGTTGTCTCTTTTTCTTACTTGGCTTAATTTTTTTAATAGGCCTATTAAAATTGCCACTTTAAAAAAATTTGGTATTTAATTTTTCTTCAGGGAAAATACTCTGCATACCTTAAAACAACGCCAGCTAGCTTCTTATATAGGAAGTGCCCGTCCTCTTGTCACCGAATTGGTAAGTAAGCATTCTTTGAAGTGAAAGTTGTCTTCAGTGCTAAGTGACTTTTTTTTTTTAATGCTAAGAATTTCTCTTCTTTTGGATCCTTGTTTTACTTTCCTGAAGGTTTGCACACACTAGCACTTCACTCTAAAACAACTAACTTGCATTGGAATCTGATGGAATGTATTGGGACATATCCAGGGCCTTTGAATTGTAAATAATGAAATATGGAAAGTGTACCTAATTTGCCAACATTAAAAACAAATTGATTTTGGTCTTATATCAAAGTTTGACTATATAAAGTAGTGACCCATGAAAGCTCTTTTATATATTAACAGAAAGCAGGGGGGGAAATAAAGCCTTGTGAATTAGCTTGAGGCTAGGATATGAATAATAGGAATGACAGTGGATTTGAAAAGAAATGGAGCCGAATTATTTCAGAAATCTTTGTGACATCTGGGGGCATGTGAATGTTTATAATGACAAGTGAGAGAAGTAAGTAACAATTTTAAAAAATGTATAGAATTCCATTTGGTAAGTGGTTTTTTGATGAAAATTGTTTAGAAACTGCTAGAAGAGCTTGAAATTGTAGCTAAATTACCTTGTAGCTAGCAATAGCTGAAAATCATTTAGTCTTAACAACTAGAAAATGATTTCCTTTTGCTAGAGAGACCATGTTCCAAAATTGAATGATGTGTCTGCAAAATATTTGTGAAAGTTGCCAATTGATCTATTATGTATTCTATTTCCTGAATTGATATTCATATTATTATATACTCAGTAACGTGAAATAAGAATTATTTCCTTTCTTAAGTCATATTAAAGGTGTTTTCCATTTGAAATTTATTGTGTAGCTATTTGCTGCTAAAGTGAGGACAACATATTATCCTAAATATTTAAAAACACATGAAAGGTAGGTAGGAATAACCATTTTAGGGGCTTTTTACTTATTTATTAGAAATGTTTAAAATTATTTTTATTGAATATCGTGTCGTGTATCAGCAGTCCCCAATCTTTTTGGCACCAGGGACTGGTTTCGTGGAAGGCAGTTTTTCCACGGACAGGAAGGTGTCGGGGGGAGTATAGAGGGGAGTGGTTTCGAGATGATTGAAGCACATTACATTTATTGTGCAGTTAAACCTCTCTGCTAATGATAATCTGTATTTGCAGCTGCTCCCCAGTGCTAGTATCACTGCCTCAGCTCCACCTCAGATGATCAGGCATTAGATTGTCATAAGGAGCACACAACCTAGATCCCTTGCATGTACAGTTTATAGTAAGATTCAAGCTCTGATGAAAATCTAATGCCACTGCTGATCTGACAAGAGGTGGAGGTTATGCAGTGATGGGAGCAATGGGGAGCAGCTATGAATACAGATGAAGCTTTGCTTGCTCGTAGCTCACCTCCTGCTGTGTGGTCCGGTTCCTAACAGGCCACGGACTGGTACCGGTCTGCAGCCCGGGGGTTGGGGACCACAGTTTTATGTGCTATTAATCCCCAAATGGATCTTAATAGGTTCTCTTCCCATATGTTCTCAGAAAGTACTAGCTAAGTACTTTTCTAGTTACAGAATAGATTTCTTCAGTTTTCCTCATGTTTGTACTCCATCTGGGTCTAATCCTGTTTAGACTTAACTTGGCCATGTAACTATGGTAGGGTGAAGCTCAAGTGATCTTCTAGTGTCACCTGGGCTGGGGTAGGCTAGTAGTATTTCTGCCTTGCCTGACCTAGGCATGCCCCTTTGTGGGCAACTGGGGTCTGTTTTAAGTGGGGAGCAGACAGTTGTGTGGCTATTTGGAACACTTCTGACCTTGTGCCACTTTCATTCCCATTTGTTACTTAACTGAATGGTAAATGAATCTATTTCAGTATGTAAACTCGGGATAGGTTTATCATCTTTTGATGATGTTTGAAATGTATGTAGATACAAAGAACAAACAATTTATTGTTTTGTTTTGTTTTTTTCTTGCAGGACCCTGATGCTCCCATAAGACAGAAAATGCCCCTTGATGATCTGGATAGGGAAGATGAAGTTAGATTACTTAAATATCTTTTCACTCTAATCCGTGCTGGAATGACAGAAGAGGTAATCATGTATATCCTGCTTATCCACTTTCAAAAAGTCATAGACTCTTTGAGTTGGAAGAGATATTTGCGGCTACCTAGTATGCTCCCTCAGTACAGTAATTCCATTCACAGTATTTATAGATCTGACTTCCTGTTTGAACATTTCCAGTGATAAGGAACACATGGCTTTGGAAAGCAGTGTACTCTAGTTTGTACAACTCTGATTAGAAAATTCTTTATAACAAGTCAAGCTTTGCCTTCTTGTACATACTTTAGGCATATCCTCATTATTTCTAACTCTAATTTTTAAGAGTGCAGAGTAAGTCTAATGCTAGTTTTAAGTAACACTATTTAGGTACTTGAAGGCTATAGTAACTCTCAAACTTCTTCCTTTCAACCTTACCTCTTTAAAATGTGTGTGAGGCTGGGTGTAGTGGCTCATGATATCTATAATCTCAGCACTTTGGGAGGTGGAAGTGAGAGGATCACTTGAGGCCATGAGTTCGGGATTAGCCTGGGCAACATAGCAAGACCCCATCACTACAGAAAAAAAATTAGCCAGGTATGGCAGCATGTGCACCTGTGGTCCTACCTACTTGGGAGGCTGAGGAAGGAGAAGTGCTTGATCCCAGGAGTTCAAGGCTTCAGTGAGCTATGATTGTACCACTGCACCCCAGCCTGGGCAACAGAGCGAGACCCTATCTCTAAAAAAGAAAAAATTAAAAAATGAAATGTGTATGATAGTTAAGATCTTATATGTAGAATGTTAAGTGTCTAATGAGTTTACTGGATGGCTTTGTTGATTGTTTAGGTGAGGCAGTCTGATGTGTAGGAGTTTCAATGTTCAGGTGTTATGTTGTACCTCTTTTATAGTACTCATGGTAGTGTTCTTTAGACAGATGTATGTTAGTTCAAAGCGTTGTTTGTTTTTCTGTGTTATCAACCATCAGCATATGTTAAGTAATTTCTTACAGTAGTAAGACTTGAGTTATTAAGCGTCATTCTTATTTTTTTATTAAGCAAAGAAGTTGATACCACATATTCATTTATTCAGAAAATATTTAAGTCCCAGGTAAATTTTACCTCGTAATGTGCGAGATACTAGAAATTTCAGTGGTAAACGAGAGGAACTTATTTTAAAAAAACAGAAAATAAAAATAATGATCATATTACTGAAGGCTTGAAAAATAGAAACTCTCAAGGTCTCACTAGCTTTAAATAATCACAGATAGTGAGTTTTTTGTATTTACTTATGGCCCTTTATCTGTTTCTAAAACTTTTTTATCAATCCAAACAGAAACTGTGTCTCCACTATGCAATAACTCATTTCCCTCTTCCCTCTGCCCCTAGTAACCTCTAATCTCCTTACTGTCTCTTTGACATTTAGGAGGAATCATACTACATATTTCATTAAGTGGAATCATATAATATTTATGCTCTTTCTTGTTTCCAAAGGCACAACGACTCTGTAAACGTTGTGGTCAAGCCTGGAGAGCTGCAACACTTGAAGGCTGGAAATTGTATCATGACCCTAACGTTAATGGAGGTATGTTAGTAGATTTTATTCTGGCAATTGGAGATAAAGGCATTTAGCTCTAAATGCCAATCTTTGTGAACTATAGCTTTTCTTTTTAGAAATGATTGAAATGTCTCATTTTAAACTATAAATTTTATCTCTTTTACCATTTTATAGGAACAGAATTAGAACCTGTTGAAGGGAATCCATATAGACGCATTTGGAAAATAAGTTGTTGGAGAATGGCAGAAGATGTAAGATACATAATACTTTATGAATAATACTTTATGAATACTTCATAATTCATAATTCATAATACTTTATGAATACTTTCACTGATATGGATTTTTACTCCAATTTAATTAATTGAAGACCTACTGGGAGGTGTGAAACATTCAGAGTAGTGTAAGACTAAAGTTCTTGTTTCCAAAGAACTTCCAGTGAAATTGATAAATAGGTTTAACTACTTATCAGAATTATTCGGACACTTACTAGAATTAAACATTGATATAAAGCAGAATTGTAAAGGAGGTGCCAAATGAGTTTAGAGAAAAAGCACTGGGCTAAAGCTTAAAGCTGGCTTCCCCGGGGAGAGAATTGAATTGAACTTTTTAAAATTTGAGTTGTTGAAAACAAGAGGAAGGAATTCTAGATAGGATGCATAGGTTGAGAAACTCAAGGAAAGGTAGGTCTACCAGGTTGGAGTAGAATGCTCGTAAAAGGAAATACAGTCAGTTCTGACATGACATATGCATTCCTAAAAATCACTGTGACATGCACAATTGTACAAAAAACCAACAGGGCTTATGGGAAAATGGAGTTCAGAAAATAATACTCAAAAACTTCATTAATGCCAGGGTACAGAGGCTCATACCTGTAATCCTAGCACTTTGAGAGGCTGAGGCAAGGAGGATCACTTGAGCCCAGGAGTTCAAGATGAGCCTGGGCAACATAGTGAGACCCCATCTCTACAAAAAATAAATAAATAAATAAATTAGGTGTGGTAGCACACATCTGTAGTCACAGCTACTTGGAAGGCTAAGAAGCAGGATGATCACTTGAGCCAAGGATTTGGAGGCTGCAGTGAGCTGTGATCACTACCACTGCACTCTGGCCTTGATGACACAGTGAGACCCTGTCTCAAAAAAGAAAAAAAACAACTTCATTAGTGATACATAAAAAGTTAAAAGTTAATAAAATTTATAGCACAGTTCTACATCTGTCAAACAGTTAAATACATAAATACTGCAATAAATAGGACATTTTACCTTGAAAAAGTCCTGAAGTTTGCTTGTAGAATCAGGTGTCAGAAGGGTTGTAGAATCTTGAGGGCACATGGAAGGGTGTTCTAAGAAGATTAGCATGGCAGTGGAAAATAGACTCAAAATTGAATGGAATAAAGGCTGAGAAAGTAATTAGGAGCCTGTCAGAATTATTCAGACACTAAGTAATAAGGGCCTGTCATGGGATAATTGGTGGGAGTGGAAACTGCATAACTCAGTTATGTAGTAACTGAGTCTCTCAGGTCTCTTGTTTGGATGACAAGAAAACTGGAAATGCCATTAATAGAATCCTAAAAGTAAAATGAAGTAATATGATGAGTATGATTAATTCTAATCTTAGGAATTAGATGCAAACTGATGTGTGCCTTATTTCGATGTTGTTCTTCAGTCAGTATCAAGGAGTATTAGGTGTTTAGAAACATTCTAGGAGAAAACACCTATATAGGTTCTACTTGGAATGAATTTGGATTATCAATAATCAAAGCATCCATTAGAGTTAGATCTGCTTTCACCCTCTATTTGAAATTTAAATGTTTGACTTTTTCCTGAAGATTTCAGCATTGATTATTTCATCAAACTGAAGTCCTTCCCTATTATTACCCCACTAGATCTTTCACTACAATTTAGAAAATATCAAGTCAATAAAAAGGATTTAAAAATTCCAGATTATGAGGAAAATTAACATTCTAAGAAAAACAATATTTCAAATTTGTTTATATTCATTGTATTTTAGGAGCTTTTTAATAGATACGAGAGAGCAATTTATGCAGCTTTAAGTGGGAATCTTAAGCAGGTATGTAATCTATTTTAATATTTAATTTTTTTCTGTGGGATAAAATTAGATACATAAAGTATTCTTGCCTGAGAAATATACTTAGCTGAGAAAAAAGGCAAAAAAATAATGCATTTAGATAAAAGTAGCCACTTATTTCATTTAAAAAAAATATTCTAATAATTGCATATAACAAAGCATATAAACTTAAGCTACTTTCTAAGAGTAGCAATGATAGAGATAATCATGAAACAGAATAGTGATCAGCTTAATTTGATGTATCGCGTACATGCATGATATTTTAATGAGTGAAATCAGACTTCAGTTTCTAACTAAGAATTGTAAATTTAGTTGCAACACGCATTTACTGATGAGTAGTAATAGCCGTAACTATACCCAGAAAAAAGTGCCACTAAGGCACAGTAACTGCTTGGGTTGTCTTACATATGCATGTGTGTTTCTCAACAATCCCCACTACTCCCTACATTTTACAGCTATTTTGAGGGATGCTATAATCAGTTGAAACACCATCTTATATCAGCATGGAAAATTGATGTTATTGTGAACTCAGTATAGAAAAAAATCTTAGTAGTTCAAACTTGGAAGATGTAGTTTGGGGGAGAAAAAGGTTATTTGATCTCATTTTTTAAAATCCACAGTGTTTTATATCATTATAAAGTGACTTTATAGCCCATATCAATGGATATAATTGCTTTTCCTTTCTTTTTGTTGGATATATCTATGTGTGTCTGTTTCGGAATGGGGAAAAAGCTTCTTCCTGTCTGTGACACCTGGGAAGACACAGTGTGGGCCTACTTCCGGGTGATGGTGGACAGTCTGGTAGAACAGGAGATTCAGACATCAGTAATAACTCTGGATGAAACTGAAGAACTTCCTAGAGAATATATGGAATCGAAGTGAGCTTTTTGCTTTTAGTCATGGAGCTTGGTAGCATGCTTTTTGATGTT